TCCTATCTTGTGTTCTAAGACTATAGTGGCTGCCATAGTACCGTTCGTTCAAACCGACGCTGTGTCGTCAATTCTTTATGAAATCGTGCAATCTAAATTGCTTATTGTAGGCGACGTCAAGACGCTCCAGATCCAATTTGAATCAAGTCATTTGCAGCTGTGAGCAGAACGCTATCAACGTTTGAAGCCGCTGTGCAGAAATCCGTCTGTGCACTATATCTTTCGTTTTAGGCACATTCAAGGCTATTGTGACTATAACAGAGAATGGGGCGGGGTGATGGAAAGCGGGAGAATGGGGCGGGGTGATGCAAAGCGGGAGAATAGGGCGGGGTGATGGAAAGCGGGAGAATGGGGCGGGGTGATGGAAAGCGGGAGAATGGGGTGGGGTGATGGAAAGCGGGAGAATGGGGCGGGGTGATGGAAAGCGGGAGAATGGGGCGGGGTGACGGAAAGGAGGGAAAATGGGGCGGGGTGATGGAAGAAGGGAGAATGGGGCGGGGTGATTGAAGGAGGGAGAATGGGGCGGGGTGATGGAAAGCGGGAGAATGGGGCGGGGTGATGGAAAGCGGGAGAATGGGGCGGGGTGATGGAAAGCGGGAGAATGGGGCGGGGTGATGGAAAGCGGGAGAATGGGGCGGGGTGATGGAAAGCGGGAGAACGGGGCGGGGTGATGGAAAGCTGGAGAATGGGGTGGGGCGATGGAAAGCGGGAGAATGGGGCAGCGCAATGGAAGGAGGGAGAATGGGGCGGGGTGATGGAAAGCGGGAGAATGGGGCGGGGTGATGGAAATCGGGAGAATGGGGCGGGGTGATGGAAAGCGGGAGAATGGGGCAGGGTGATAGAAAGCGGGAGAATGGGGCCGGGTGATGGAAAGCGGGAGATTGGGGCGGGGTGATGGAAATCGGGAGAATGGGGCGAGGTGATGGAAAGCGGGAGAATGGGGCGGGGTGATGGAAAGCGGGAGAATGGGGCGGGGTGATGGAAGGAGGGAGAATGGGACGGGGTGATGGAAGGAGGGAGAATGGGGCGGGGTGATGGAAAGCGGGAGAATGGGGCGGGGTGATGGAAAGCGGGAGAATGGGGCGGGGTGATGGACGGAGGGAGAATGGGGCGGAGTGATGGAAAGCGGGAGAATGGGGCGGGGTGATGGAAAGCGGGAGAATGGGGCGGGGTGATGGAAAGCGGGAGAATGGGGCGGGGTGATGGAAAGCGGGAGAATGGGGCCGGGTGATGGAAGGAGGGAGAATGGGGCGGGGTGATGGAAGGAGGGAGAATGGGGCGGGGGGATGGAAAGCGGGAGAATGGGGCGGGGTGACGGAAAGGAGGGAAAATGGGGCGGGGTGATGGAAGGAGGGAGAATGGGGCGGGGTGATGGAAGGAGGGAGAATGGGGCGGGGTGATGGAAAGCGGGAGAATTGGGCGGGGTGATGGAAAGCGGGAGAATGGGGCGGGGTGATGGAAAGCGGGAGAACGGGGCGGGGTGATGGAAAGCTGGAGAATGGGGCGGGGCGATGGAAAGCGGGAGAATGGGGCAGGGCAATGGAAGGAGGGAGAATGGGGCGGGGTGATGGAAAGCGGGAGAATGGGGTGGGGTGATGGAAATCGGGAGAATGGGGCGGGGTGATGGAAAGCGGGAGAATGGGGCAGGGTGATGGAAAGCGGGAGAATGGGGCCGGGTGATGGAAAGCGGGAGAATGGGGCGGGGTGATGGAAAGCAGGAGAATGGGGCGGGGTGATGGGAAGCGGGAGAATGGGGCGGTGTGATGGAAAGCGGGAGAATGGGGTGGGGTGATGGAAAGCGGGAGAATGGGGCGGGGTGATGGAAAGCATGAGAATGGGGCGGGGTGATTGAAGGAGGGAGAATGGGGCGGGGTGATGGAAGGAGGGAGAATGGGGCTGGGTGATGGAAAGCGGGAGATTGGGGCGGGGTGATGGAAATCGGGAGAATGGGGCGAATTGATGGAAAGCGGGAGAATGGGGCGGGGTGATGGAAAGCGGGAGAATGGGGCGGGGTGATGGAAGGAGGGAGAATGGGGCGGGGTGATGGAAAGCGGGAGAATGGGGCGAGGTGATGGAAAGCGGGAGAATGGGGCGGGGTGATGGAAAGCGGGAGAATAGGGCGGGGTTATGGAAAGCGGGAGAATGGGGCGGGGTGATGGAAAGCGGGAGAATGGGGCGGGGTGATGGAAAGCGGGAGAATGGGGCGGGGTGATGGAAAGCGGGAGAATGGGGCGGGGCGATGGAAAGCGGGAGAATGGGGCGGGGTGATGGAAAGCGGGAGAATGGGGTGGGGTGATGAAAAGCGGGAGAATGGGGCGGGGTGATGGAAAGCGGGAGAATGGGGCGAGGTGATGGAAAGCGGGAGAATGGGGCGGGGTGATGGAAAGCGGGAGAATGGGGCGGGGTGATGGAAAGAGGGAGAATGGGGCGGGGTGATGGAAAGCGGGAGAATGGGGCGGGGTGATGGAAAGCTGGAGAATGGGGCGGGGCGATGGAAAGCGGGAGAATGCGGCGGGGTGATGGAAAGCGGCAGAATGGGGCGGGGTGATGGAATGCGGGAGAATGGGGCCGGGTGATGGAAAGCGGAAGAATGGGGCGGGGTGATGGAAAGCGGGAGAATGGGGCGGGGTGATGGAAAGCGGGAGAATGGGGCGGGGTGACGGAAAGGAGGGAAAATGGGGCGGGGTGATGGAAGGAGGGAGAATGGGGCGGGGTGATGGAAGGAGGGAGAATGGGGCGGGGTGATGGAAAGCGGGAGAATGGGGCGGGGTGATGGAAAGCGGGAGAACGGGGCGGGGTGATGGAAAGCTGGAGAATGGGGCGGGGCGATGGAAAGCGGGAGAATGGGGCAGGGCAATGGAAGGAGGGAGAATGGGGCGGGGTGATGGAAAGCGGGAGAATGGGGCGGGGTGATGGAAATCGGGAGAATGGGGCGGGGCGATGGAAAGCGGGAGAATGGGGCGGGGTGATGGAAAGCGGCAGAATGGGGCGGGGTGATGGAAAGCGGGAGAATGGGGCGGGGTGATGGAAAGCGGGAGAATGGGGCGGGGTGATGGAAGGAGGGAGAATGGGGCGGGCTGATGGAAAGCGGGAGAATGGGACGGGTTGATGGAAAGCGGGAGAATGGGGCGGGTCGATGGAAGGAGGGAGAATGGGGCTGGGTGATGGAAAGCGGGAGAATGGGGCGGGGTGATGGAAGGAGGGAGAATGGGGCGGGGCAATGGAAGGAGGGAGAATGGGGCGGGGTGATGGCAAGCGGGAGAATGGGGCGGGGTGATGGAAATCGGGAGAATGGGGCGGGGTGATGGAAAGCGGGAGAATAGGGCGGGGTGATGGAATGCGGGAGAATGGGGCCGGGTGATGGAAAGCGGGAGAATGGGGCGGGGTGATGGAAAGCGGGAGAATGGGGCGGGGTGATGGAAAGCGGGAGAATGGGGCGGGGGGATGGAAAGCGGGAGAATGGGGCGGGGGGATGGAAAGCGGGAGAATGGGGCGGGGTGACGGAAAGGAGGGAAAATGGGGCGGGGTGATGGAAGGAGGGAGAATGGGGCGGGGTGATTGAAGGAGGGAGAATGGGGCGGGGTGATGGAAAGCGGGAGAATGGGGCGGGGTGATGGAAAGCGGGAGAATGGGGCGGGGTGATGGAAAGCGGGAGAATGGGGCGGGGTGATGGAAAGCGGGAGAACGGGGCGGGGTGATGGAAAGCTGGAGAATGGGGCGGGGCGATGGAAAGCGGGAGAATGGGGCAGGGCAATGGAAGGAGGGAGAATGGGGCGGGGTGATGGAAAGCGGGAGAATGGGGCGGGGTGATGGAAATCGGGAGCATGGGGCGGGGGGATGGAAAGCGGGAGAATGGGGCAGGGTGATGGAAAGCGGGAGAATGGGGCGGGGTGATGGAAAGCGGGAGAACGGGGCGGGGTGATGGGAAGCGGGAGAATGGGGCGGTGTGATGGAAAGCGGGAGAATGGGGCCGGGTGATGGAAAGCGGGAGAATGGGGCGGGGTGATGGGAAGCGGGAGAATGGGGCGGGGTGATGGGAAGCGGGAGAATGGGGCGGGGTGATGGAAGGAGGGAGAATGGGGCTGGGTGATGGAAAGCGGGAGAATGGGGCGGGGTGATGGGAAGCGGGAGAATGGGGCGGGGTGATGGAAGGAGGGAGAATGGGGCTGGGTGATGGAAAGCGGGAGATTGGGACGGGGTGATGGAAAGCGGGAGAATGGGGCGGGGTGATGGAAGGAGGGAGAATGGGGCGGGGTGATGGAAAGCGGGAGAATGGGGCGGGGTGATGGAAAGCGGGAGAATGGGGCGGGGTGATGGAAAGCGGGAGAATAGGGCGGGGTGATGGAAAGCGGGAGAATGGGGCGGGGTGATGGAAAGCGGGAGAATGGGGCGGGGTGATGGAAAGCGGGAGAATGGGGCGGGTTGATGGAAAGCGGGAGAATGGGGCGGGGTGATGGAAAGCGGGAGAATGGGGCGGGGTGATGGAAAGCGGGAGAATGGGGCGGGGTGATGGAAAGCGGGAGAATGGGGCGGGTTGATGGAAAGCGGGAGAATGGGGCGGGGTGATGGAAAGCGGGAGAATGGGGCGAGGTGATGGAAAGCGGGAGAATGGGGCGGGGTGATGGAAAGCGGGAGAATGGGGCGGGGCGATGGAAAGCGGGAGAATGGGGCGGGGTGATGGAAAGCTGGAGAATGGGGCGGGGCGATGGAAAGCGGGAGAATGGGGCGGGGTGATGGAAAGCGGCAGAATGGGGCGGGGTGATGGAAGGAGGGAGAATGGGGCGGGGTGATGGAAAGCTGGAGAATGGGGCGGGGCGATGGAAAGCGGGAGAATGGTGCGGGGTGATGGAAAGCGGCAGAATGGGGCGGGGTGATGGAAGGAGGGAGAATGGGGCGGGGTGATGGAAAGCGGGAGAATGGGGCGGGGTGATGGAAGGAGGGAGAATGGGGCGGGGTGATGGAAGGAGGGAGAATGGGGCGGGGTGATGGAAGATGGGAGAATGGGGTGCGGTAATGGAAAGCGGGAGAACGGGGCGGGGCGATGGAAGGAGGGAGAATGGGGCGGGGTGATGGAAAGCGGGAGAATGGGGCGGGGTGATGGGGGAAAGCAGGGAAGGGGACATGGGGGAGCAGGGAAGGGGATGGGGGCAAGCAGGGAAGGGAACATGGGGAAGCAGGGAAGGGGATGGGGGGAAGCAGGGAAGGGGACATGGGGAAGCAGGGAAGGGGACATGGGGAAGCAGGGAGGGGGATGGGGGAAAGCAGGGAGGGGGATGGGGGGAAGCAAGGAAGGGGATGGGGGAAAGCAGGGAGGGGGATGGGGGGGAAGCAGGGAAGGGGATGGGGGGGAACAGGGAAGGGGATGGGGGGAAGCAGGGAGGGGTATGGGGGGAAGCAGAGAGGGGGATGGGGGGAAGCAGGGAGGGGTATGGGGGGAAGCAGGGAGGGGGATGGGGGGAAGCAGGGACGGAGATGGGGGGAAGAAGGGAAGGAGATGGGGGGAAGCAGGAAAGGGGATTGGGGGAAGCAGGGCAGGGGACATGGGGAAGCAGGGCAGGGGATGAGGGAAGCAGGGAAGGGGACATGGGGATGCAGGGAACGGGATGGGGGAAAGCAGAGAAGGGAATGGGGGGGAGCAGGGAAGTGGATGGGGGGGAGCAGGGAGGGGTATGGGGGGAAGCAGGGAGGGGGATGGGGGGGAAGCAGGGAAGGGGATGGGGGGGAAGCAGGGAGGGGGATGGGGGGGAAGCAGGGAAGGGGATGGGGGGGAACAGGGAAGGGGATGGGGGGAAGCAGGGAGGGGGATGGGGGGGAAGCAGGGAAGGGGATGGGGGGGAACAGGGAAGGGGATGGGGGGAAGCAGGGAGGGGTATGGGGGGAAGCAGAGAGGGGGATGGGGAGAAGCAGGGAGGGCTATGGGGGGAAGCAGGGAGGGGGATGGGGGGAAGCAGGGACGGAGATGGGGGGAAGAAGGGAAGGAGATGGGGGGAAGCAGGGAAGGGGATTGGGGGAAACAGGGCAGGGGACATGGGGAAGCAGGGCAGGGGATGAGGGAAGCAGGGAAGGGAATGGGGGGGAGCAGGGAAGGGGATGGGGGGGAGCAGGGAAGGGGATGGGGGGAAGCAGGGAGGAGAATAGGGTCCTGCTCCTGCTCCTCTCCCTCCTCCTGCTCCTCTACCCTCTTGGCCTTGAGCAGGGGTCCAACCATCAGGGAGTTTGTAGCAGTCGCGCCACATGTGTCCGCTCTTGTGGCAATAGTGACACTCGCCGTCGAATCGGCCGCGACCGCGCCCGTAGCTCTTGTCGTCGCTGCCGTAACCGCCACTCCCGCGGCCTCCGCCGAAGTTGCTGCCACCAAACCTTCCTCCCCCTCGTCCTCTGCCTCTTCCTCGACCATATCCACGGCCGATGCTCGCTGCCCCAGCGCCATCCGCACTCGCCAACTCACGGCGGCGGAAATCCTCTTGAAGGATAGCTCGCTTCACGTCTTCAAGCGAGAGGCGGGGCAAGTCGCGATTAAGGTTGATGATGAGCGAGGACCATGACTCTGGGAGTAAGGCCAGCAACTTGGTCTTCTTTTGGAGCTCACTGTAGTTCAAATCAGCTCCCTCAAGCCGCGTCAACAAGTCGAAGAATTTCTGCACCCCTTCTTCAACCGCTTCGTTTTCTTCAATTCATAGTGCCGCCATTTGCCGTTCCAACACCACCGCTACCGCCGCTGTTGCAGGAGCATGTACACCCTTGAGAGCAGCCCATGCCTTTGGTCCCTTCTCTGGTTCACGCTGGAATGGCTTGATGTGACGGATCTGGCTGCTCCCCAACGCTTGCCCAAGTAGGAGGTAGCCTTGTGCGCTCTTCCGCACCCACGGGCTCTTCTCCGGGTCGTTCTCGGGGCGCTTCTCCGTTCCTACCATCACCTCCAGCAGGTCATAGTGGTCAAAGATGTTCTCCATCTTGAAGGACCATTTAGCAAAGTTGTCACCGTTGAACTTGTCAAGCCCAAACACCCTAGGCTCATCCCTAGGTGGGCCAAGACTTGGTTGCATGGGCGCCATGGCTGAATCACGGGGTTGGCCTTGAGCTTGAGCTTCTCCACTGCCACCAGCACCTCTGCCACCCCTTTCCTCAGGTCCAGACATTGTCGAAACTGCTCCAAGGGGCTCTGATACCACTTGTTATAGTCACAGTAGGCTCCAATGTGCCTAAAACGAAAGATAGAGTGCACAGCCGGATTTCTGCACAGCGGCTTCAAACGTTCATAGCGTTCTGGTCACAGCTTCAAATGACTTGATTTAACTTGGATCTGGAGCGTCTTATTGTCGCCTACAACAGGCAATTTAGATCGCACGATTTTACCAAGTATTGACGACACAACGTCAGTTTGAACGAACGGCACTATGGCAGCCACTATAGTCTTAGAACACAAGATAGGAAGAGTTAGGAAGAGTTAGGAATGACTCCCAGCTCCTACAAACCCCAAGAGCCGAGGTACAGTGATGTGGAACAGTGCCACACTGTCCCCAACCACGAAGGGTCTCGAAACTACCCTTCACTAGGGCCTACACCAAGTGAAATGTTACACTACACAAAGTAATGTAACTATCTTCAATATCTTGAGGTGTACCCTTTTGGCGAGCTTCGAAATCACTTGAGGCTTGACACCAAGGCTCGGGCTCTTCATCACAAACTCATCCTTGAGTTCTTGATGGGTCTGCTGCACACACCTGCGACACGCCGAACGTTCGACACAGGACAAAATAGAAACCGCGCACGACAAAATAGAAACCGCGCGCGAGACACAAACGACCGCGTAACACGCGTCTAGCGATAACTCGCTATTGACTCGACACACACACTCGACATCATGACTCAACATTCACACACAATTATAAGCATGAAATATATATTATCCCATGCCCTCATACCATTCCATACACACACACATTCACGCACACGGACAACAAGCCGAGTGCAAACCGTAGGGTTGCACCAACAAACTCCCCCTCGGATTGTTGGCCTTAGGATATGTTGCTCTCTCAGTTCAGAGCCATCCCAGCCAGCTTGCAACACTTCCAATGCTGCTGCTCCACCAGCCTCTTGGTCATCATGTCAGCCGGCTGCCCCGTGGTCTTCACGTAGCGCAACTCAACTTCACCCGCGGTTACCATGCTCCTCGTCCAATGCCACTTCACCCTCATGTGCTTCGTGAGTCCATGCAACACAGGGTTCTTAGCAAGAGCAATGGCACCCTGGCTGTCACAGTACAGTGGGGTAGGTCCTTGCTGCTCCTCCACCAATTCAGCCAACAAACGCCGCTGCCACACAATCTCCCGTACGGCACGGAAGAGTGACATGTACTCGGACTCCACCGAGCTCAAAGCTTGGTCAACCTGCTTCTTGCTCTCCCAAGCAGTTGGGCCTCCACCAACACAGCATATGAAGCCTCCCACACTTGTCATGTCCTCTGGTTCTGATGCATATGAAGCATCCGAGTAGGCGGTGAGGAACAAACGCCCGGGTTCAACACCATCCGCGCCCTTTTGGCGCCTTTGTGCCACCGCCGAGTATTGCAGCCCAACGGTCGGTGTTTGGCCAAGATACTTGGCCACCCTCATTCCAGCTGCTACCTGCTCCTCATTAGGGCATTGCACAACCCTAGCCAGCTGCCCGGTAGCAAACGCGACGTCCGGTCGGGTGTTTACCGCCGCATACATGAGGCTGCCCACCAACGAGTGAAATCGGCGCCTCTCCTCTTCACCAACGCTCTCCTCCTCTGGTCCCTTCACACACTTGAACCCAGAGGGAAAGGGAGTAGCCACATGACCTTCACTCTGGCCGAAGTCGGCAGCCAACGCCTCCAGGTACTTCCGTTGGTGCACTCGCATGCTCCGCTTCTCCACGTCTCGTTCGATATGGAGCCCAAGGTAGAAGTTCACGTCACCAAGGGACTTGCACTTGAACTTGTCTTGCAGCTTCAGCATCACCTCCTTCACAAGGTCAGGAGAGGGTGAGAAAATGAGGATGTCATCCACATAAACCACCATGAAACTCCTCTGCTCCCCCTCGCCAAGCATGAACAAGGAGTGATCGGCCGTTGAGGGAGTGAAGCCGATCCCCTCCAACACTTCGCGCAGCTTCATGTACCATTGCCTAGGGGCCTGCTTCAGCCCATAGAGGGCCTTATTCAGCTTCCACACTCTGCCACTACCATCATCAAACCCCTCTGGCTGCGCCATAAAAATCTCCTCCTCAAGGATGCCGTTAAGGAATGCCGTTACGATGTCCATTTGCTTTACTACCCATCCTTTGATGGCGGCTCCCGCGAATAGGGTTCGCAGCGTCGTCGGCTTCACCACAGGGGCAAACAGCTCCTTGAAGTCCACCTTCTCCTTCTGCTGGTACCCCTTGGCTACAAGCCTAGACTTGTAGCGCTCGATCTTGCCGTCGGCATCCGACTTGATTTTGAAGAGCCACTTGGACGTTATCGCCGTACGCCCCTCCGGTAGCTCCACCAATTCAAACGTGTCATTCTCCTCGATGCTCTTCAGCTCACTCTCCATGGCCTTCTTCCACTCCTCAGCATCACTACTCTCCAAAGCCTCCTTGAGAGTTGCTGGTTCTCCCGGCATCTCCACCGGAGAGAAGAACGCGAAGGCACACTCCTCGTAGTCACTCTCTTCGTCGTCTCCGACCATCATTGCCGCTCCGGCCAGGGCTGTCTTGCCCTGCTTTCCCGGCGCATCATAGGTCAGCCTATTAGGGGGTTGAACTCTCCTCTTCCCCCTTCCTTCCTCCTCAGCTGCAGGGACTTGAAGGCCTTGGCGTTGCTGCGGTGTGGCTCGAATCCGTGGAGCACTCGTAGTACGGGAAGGAAGTGACGGTGCACGCTCGCTCACTTGCTGCACCTCCTCCTCTTCTTCCTCTGCATCATTGGCCTCCTCTCCCCCATTCACAAGGGAGGATTGCCTTGTGGTTGTGCTGCCGCTGCTCAGTTCCAAAGGCAGCTCCACATGCTCCAAACCGGAACTCTTCACCTCCCCAAACCGCACGCCTATCTTCGCCTCATTCTCCGCCTTCCAATCCTTGTACATGAAGTTCTCCATGAACTTGCAGTCCCTGCTCACCAAGAACTTCTTGGTGAATGGGTCCCAAAGAAGCCATCCCTTGCTGTTTTGAGCCATGCCCAAGTGCACGGCCCACACCGCCTTGGCACCAAGCTTGTTGTGCCGAAGATGCTTAGGCACGAGCGCCATGCACATGCACCCGAACACCCGAAGCATATCCACCTTTGGCTTCCTTCCTAGCCACTCCACATAGGGCACCCATTTGTCTGCTCCCACATGAGTCAAGGCTCTGTTCTTGGCCACACACGCGCTCCGCACCGCATCAGGCCAGAAATAGTCGGGTAGCCCGGCTTCAATGAGCAACCCGCGTGCCGCCTCCGTGATTGTGCGGTTCGCTCGCTCGGCGATGCCGTTCATTGCAGGGGAGTATGGCATGGTGAGGGAGTGCCAAATACCATTCTTCTTCAGCCACAACCCAAACTCCTTGCTCAGGAACTCTCCCCCTCGTTCGGTGCGGATTGACTTGACTAGACGGTCTTGTTGCCGCTCCACCATCGGGAACCAATCCGTCTTCAACGTTTCAGCCACGTCGCTCTTCTTGGCCAGCACGTACACCCAAGTCATGCGGGTGTAGACGTCGACAATGGTGAGAAAATACTAAGCTCCAGCAGCTCCAAGCTTCAGGGGGCCCACCACGTCCATCACCACCTCATCAAGCGGTGCCTTTGCGGTTGCCTCCGAACTAGGGAACGGAAACCGGGTGAACTTGGCTTGAATGCACGTCGGGCAGCCAAGCACCTCATCGGGCTCCCCCTTCACACGTATGCCAGCAACCATCTCATTCTTCACTAGCTGCTGCAAGATGGGCAGGGCCACATGCCCCATGCGCCGATGCAAGGTGAGCCAATCACACTCCCCCGTAGCCGAAGTTGGATTGGAGAATGCCGCGCTCGCAATAGCGCCCCACATACTCTCTCCGTAGTCCTCCTCCGCTGCTGCCTCTGGGTTCTCCTCACCCTTTTGCTGCTCCTTGGTTGCTGCACCACTCTCCTTAGGTTCACTGAACTTGCTGGTCCCTCCAGGTTTGCTCTTCTTGAGCTCATTCTCCTTAGCGCGACCGTTCGCGCCATCGTCGCTACCGACCGCTCCATCCTTGGTGCTGATGCTTGCTGCCACTTGCCTCTCCTTAGGCATAGGGACCACTGGGATCTGCCACATCTCGTTGTAGACATCCCTGTCCTCATGAAGGTCCCAAAGAATTCGATCGCCAAGCCTTGCGGTGTAGGTCTTGGCTCCTTTCGAGTTCGTGTCCATGCCGGCCTTTGCCAACCGCCGCACGGAAATCAGGTTTGCAGCAAGGCTGGGCACCCAAAGCACGTTCTTGAGGCCCACCATCTTCCCATCAGCACCCTTGAACATGGCCTTGCCCATGCCTTTCACCTCTGCTCGCTGCCCCAAAGCCGATGTGACATGCTTCACCGGTGACGGCTCGAGTTCGGTGAGCAAGTCCGGGCGAGGTGTCATGCTATAGGTAGCGCCACTATCAATCACCCAATAGTCCAGGGGGTGTAGGGTCACCTTCCCCACAGCTGCTGGCTCCTCAAAGCCTTCATCCTTCTCTGGACCAGCCGGTACTTGCGTCGACACGAAGTAGAATAGACCCGGGTATCGATCGTCGCTCGGGTCCTTGTCGTTGTCTCCGCTCTTCATGTTTGCAGCTCCGCCACCGCGACCGCCACGGCCTCCACGGCCTCGTCCTCTCCCTCCTCCTGCTCCTCTACCCTCTTGGCCTTGAGCAGGGGTCCAACCATCAGGGAGTTTGTAGCAGTCGCGCCACATGTGTCCGCTCTTGTGGCAATAGTGACACTCGCCGTCGAATCGGCCGCGACCGCGCCCGTAGCTCTTGTCGTCGCTGCCGTAACCGCCACTCCCGCGGCCTCCGCCGAAGTTGCTGCCACCAAACCTTCCTCCCCCTCGTCCTCTGCCTCTTCCTCGACCATATCCACGGCCGATGCTCGCTGCCCCAGCGCCATCCGCACTCGCCAACTCACGGCGGCGGAAATCCTCTTGAAGGATAGCTCGCTTCACGTCTTCAAGCGAGAGGCGGGGCAAGTCGCGATTAAGGTTGATGATGAGCGAGGACCATGACTCTGGGAGTAAGGCCAGCAACTTGGTCTTCTTTTGGAGCTCACTGTAGTTCAAATCAGCTCCCTCAAGCCGCGTCAACAAGTCGAAGAATTTCTGCACCCCTTCTTCAACCGCTTCGTTTTCTTCAATTCGTAGTGCCGCCATTTGCCGTTCCAACACCACCGCTACCGCCGCTGTTGCAGGAGCGTGTACACCCTTGAGAGCAGCCCATGCCTTTGGTCCCTTCTCTGGTTCACGCTGGAATGGCTTGATGTGACGGATCTGGCTGCTCCCCAACGCTTGCCCAAGTAGGAGGTAGCCTTGTGCGCTCTTCCGCACCCACGGGCTCTTCTCCGGGTCGTTCTCGGGGCGCTTCTCCGTTCCTTCCATCACCTCCAGCAGGCCATAGTGGTCAAAGATGTTCTCCATCTTGAAGGACCATTTAGCAAAGTTGTCACCGTTGAACTTGTCAAGCCCAAACACCCTAGGCTCATCCCTAGGTGGGCCAAGACTTGGTTGCATGGGCGCCATGGCTGAATCACGGGGTTGGCCTTGAGCTTGAGCTTCTCCACTGCCACCAGCACCTCTGCCACCCCTTTCCTCAGGTCCAGACATTGTCGAAACTGCTCCAAGGGGCTCTGATACCACTTGTTATAGTCACATTAGGCTCCAATGTGCCTAAAACGAAAGATAGAGTGCACAGCCGGATTTCTACACAGCGGCTTCAAACGTTCATAGCGTTCTGGTCACAGCTTCAAATGACTTGATTTAACTTGGATCTGGAGCGTCTTATTGTCGCCTACAACGGGCAATTTAGATCGCACGATTTCACCAAGTATTGACGACACAACGTCAGTTTGAACGAACGGCACTATGGCAGCCACTATAGTCTTAGAACACAAGATAGGAAGAGTTAGGAAGAGTTAGGAATGACTCCCAGCTCCTACAAACCCCAAGAGCCGAGGTACAGTGATGTGGAACAGTGCCACACTGTCCCCAACCACGAAGGGTCTCGAAACTACCCTTCACTAGGGCCTACACCAAGTGAAATGTTACACTACACAAAGTAATGTAACTATCTTCAATATCTTGAGGTGTACCCTTTTGGCGAGCTTCGAAATCACTTGAGGCTTGACACCAAGGCTCGGGCTCTTCATCACAAACTCATCCTTGAGTTCTTGATGGGTCTGCTGCACACACCTGCGACACGCCGAACGTTCGACACAGGACAAAATAGAAACCGCGCACGACAAAATAGAAACCGCGCGCGAGACACAAACGACCGCGTAACACGCGTCTAGCGATAACTCGCTATTGACTCGACACACACACTCGACATCATGACTCAACATTCACACACAATTATAAGCATGAAATATATATTATCCCATGCCCTCATACCATTCCATACACACACACATTCACGCACACGGACAACAAGCCGAGTGCAAACCGTAGGGTTGCACCAACATGCTGCTGCTCCACCAGCCTCTTGGTCATCATGTCAGCTGGCTGCCTTGTCGTCTTCACATAGTGCAACTCAACTTCACCCGCGGCCACCATGCTCCTCGTCCAATGCCACTTCACCCTCATGTGCTTGGTGAGGCCATGCAACACAGGGTTCTTAGCAAGAGCAATGGCACCCTGGCTGTCACAGTAGAGTGGGGTAGTTCCTTGCTGCTCCTCCCCCAATTCAGCCAACAAACGCCGCTGCCACACAATCTCTCGTACGGCACGGAAGAGTGCCATATACTCGGACTCCACCGAGCTCAATGCTTGATCCACCTGCTTCTTGCTCTCCCAAGCAGTTGGGCCTCCACCAACACAGCAAATGAACCCTCCAACACTTGTCATGTCCTCTGGTTCTGATGCAAAAGAAGCATCCGAGAATGCGGTGAGGAACAAACGCCCGGGTTCAACACCATCCGCGCCCTTTTGGCGCCTTTGCGCCGCCGCCGAATATTGCAGCCCAACGGTCGGTGTTTGGCCAAGATACTTGGCCACTCTCATTCCAGCTGCTACCTGCTCCTCATTAGGGCATTGAACAACCCTAGCCAACTGTCCGGTAGCAAACGCGACGTCCGGTCGGGTGTTTACCACCACGTACATGAGGCTGCCCACCAACGAGTGAAAACGGCGCCTCTCCTCTTCACCAACGCTCTCCTCCTCTGGTCCCTTCAAACACTTGAAACCAGAGGGAAAGGGTGTAGCCACATGGCCTTCACTCTGCCCAAAGTTGGCAGCCAATGCCTCCAGGTACTTCCGTTGATGCACCCGCATGCACCGCTTCTCCACATCACGTTCAATGTGAAGCCCAAGGTAGAAGTTGACGTCACCAAGGGCCTTACACTTAAACTTGTCCTGAAGCTTCAGCATCACCTCCTTCACAAGGTCAGATGAGGGTGAAAAGATAAGGATGTCATCCACGTACACCACCATGAAGCTCCTCTGCTCCCCCTCGCCAAGCATGAACAATGAGTGATCGGCCGTTGAGGGAGTGAAGCCGATCTCCTCCAAAACTCCTCGCAGCTTCACCCCGCACCACTCTTCCTCCTTCCATCACCCCGCCCCATTCTCCCTCCTTCCATCACCCCGCCCCGCCCCATTCTCCCGCTTTCCATCACCCCGCCCCATTCTCCCTCCTTCCATCACCCCGCCCCATTCTCCCGCTTTCCATCACCCCGCCCCATTCTCCCGCTTTCCATCACCCCGCACCACTCTTCCTCCTTCCATCACCCCGCCCCATTCTCCCTCCTTCCATCACCCCGCCCCATTCTCCCGCTTTCCATCACCCCGCCCCATTCTCCCGCTTTCCATCACCCCGCCTCATTCTCCTGCTTTCCATCACCCCGCCCCATTCTCCCGCTTTCCATCAACCCGTCCCATTCTCCAGCTTTCCATCACCCCGCGCCATTCTCCCGCTTTCCATCACCCCGCCCCATTCTCCCTTCTTCCATCACCCTGCCCCATTCTCCCGTTTTCCATCACAATGCCCCATTCTCCTGCTTTCCATCACCCTGCCCCATTCTCCCGCTTTCCATCACCCCGCCCCATTCTCCCGCTTTCCATCACCCCGCCCCATGCTTCCGCTTTCCATCACCCCACCGCATTCTCCCACTTTCCATCACCCCGCCCCATTCTCCCGCTTTCCATCACCCCGCCCCATTCTCCCGCTTTCCATCACCCGGCCCCATTCTCCCGCTTTCCATCACCCCGCCCCATTCTCCCGCTTTCCATCACCCCGCCCCATTCTCCCGCTTTCCATCACCCCGCCACATTCTCCCGCTTTCCATCACCCCGCCCCATTCTCCCTCCTTCCATCACCCCGCCCCATTCTCCAGCTTTCCATCACCCCGCGCCATTCTCCCGCTTTCCATCACCCCGCCCCATTCTCCCGCTTTCCATCACACCGCCCCATTCTCCTGCTTCCCATCACCCCGCCCCATTCTCCCGCTTTCCATCACCCCGCCCCATTCTCCCGCTTTCCATCATCCCGCCCCATTCTCCCGCTTTCCATCACCCGGCCCCTTTCTCCCGCTTTCCATCACCCCGCCCCATTCTCCCGCTTTCCATCACCCCGCCCCATGCTTCCGCTTTCCATCACCCCACCGCATTCTCCCACTTTCCATCACCCCGCCCCATTCTCCCGCTTTCCATCACCCCGCCCCATTCTCCCGCTTTCCATCACCCGGCCCCATTCTCCCGCTTTCCATCACCCCGCCCCATTCTCCCGCTTTCCATCACCCCGCCCCATTCTCCCGCTTTCCATCACCCCGCCACATTCTCCCGCTTTCCATCACCCCGCCCCATTCTCCCTCCTTCCATCACCCCGCCCCATTCTCCCGCTTTCCATCACCCAGCCCCATTCTCCCTCCTTCCATCGCCCCGCCCCATTCTCCCGCATTCCATCACCCCGCCCCATTCTCCCGCTTTCCATCACCCCGCCCCATTCTCCCTCCTTCCATTGCCCCGCCCCATTCTCCCTCCTTCCATCACCCCGCGCCAATCTCCCGCTTTCCATCACCCAGCCCCATTCTCCCTCCTTCCATCGCCTCGCCCCATTCTCCCGCTTTCCATCACCCCGCCCCATTCTCCCGCTTTCCATCACCCCGCCCCATTCTCCCTCCTTCCATTACCCCGCCCCATTCCCCCTCCTTTCATCACCCCGCCCCATTCTCCCTCCTTCCATCACCCCGCCCCGCCCCATTCTCCCGCTTTCCATCACCCCGCCCCATTCTCCCTCCTTCCATCACCCCGCCCCATTCTCCCGCTTTCCATCACCCCGCCCCATTCTCCCGCTTTCCATCACCCCGCCCCATTCTCCCGCTTTCCATCACCCCGCCCCATTCTCCCTCCTTCCATCACCCCGCCCCATTCTCCCTCCTTCCATCACCCGGCCCCATTCTCCCGCTTTCCATCACCCCGCCCCATTCTCCCGCTTTCCATCACCCCGCCCCATTCTCCCGCTTTCCGTCACCCCGCCCCATTCTCCCTCCTTCCATTGCCCCGCCCCATTCTCCCTCCTTCCATCACCCCACCCCATTCTCCCGCTTTCCATCACCCAGCCCCATTCTCCCTCCTTCCATCACCCCGCCCCATTCTCCCTTCTTCCATCACCCTGCCCCATTCTCCCGCTTTCCATCACCATGCCCCATTCTCCTGCTTTCCATCACCCCGCCCCATTCTCCCGCTTTCCATCACCCCGCCCCATTCTCCCGCTTTCCATCACCCCGCCCCATTCTCCCGCTTTCCATCACCCCGCCCCATTCTTCCGCTTTCCATCACCCCACCCTATTCTCCCGCTTTCCATCAACCCGCCCCATTCTCCCGCTTTCCATCACCCCGCCCCATTCTCCCGCTTTCCATCACCCCGCCCCATTCTCCCGCTTTCCATCACCCCGCCCCATTCTCCCGCTTTCCATCACCCCGCCCCATTCTCCCACTTTCCATCACCCCGCCCCATTCTCCCGCTTTCCATCACCCGGCCCCATTCTCCCGCTTTCCATCACCCCGCCCCATTCTCCCGTATTCCATCACCCCGCCCCATTCTCCCGCTTTCCATCACCCCGCCCCATTCTCCCGCTTTCCATCACCCCGCCCCATTCTCCCTCCTTCCATCACCCCGCCCCATTCTCCCGCTTTCCATCACCCCGCCCCATTCTCCCGCTTTCCATCACCCCGCCCCACTCTTCCTCCTTCCATCACCCCACCCCATTCTCCCTCCTTCCATCACCCCGCCCCATTCTCCCGCTTTCCATCACCCCGCCCCATTCTCCCGCTTTCCATCACCCCGCCCCATTCTCCCGCTTTCCATCACCCCGCCCCATTCTCCCTCCTTCCATCACCCCACCCCATTCTCCCTCCTTCCATCACCCGGCCCCATTCTCCCGCTTTCCATCACCCCGCCCCATTCTCCCGCTTTCCATCACCCCGCCCCATTCTCCCGCTTTCTGTCACCCCGCCCCATTCTCCCTCCTTCCATTGCCCCGCCCCATTCTCCCTCCTTCCATCACCCCACCCCATTCTCCCGCTTTCCATCACCCAGCCCCATTCTCCCTCCTTCCATCGCCCCGCCCCATTCTCCCGCATTCCATCACCCCGCCCCATTCTCCCGCTTTCCATCACCCCGCCCCATTCTCCCTCCTTCCATTGCCCCGCCCCATTCTCCCTCCTTCCATCACCCCGCCCCATTCTCCCGCTTTCCATCACCCAGCCCCATTCTCCCTCCTTCCATCGCCCCACCCCATTCTTCCGCTTTCCATCACCCCGCCCCATTCTCCCGCTTTCCATCACCCCGCCCCATTCTCCCTCCTTCCATTACCCCGCCCCATTCCCCCTCCTTTCATCACCCCGCCCCATTCTTCCTCCTTCCATCACCCCGCCCCATTCTTCCGTTTTCCATCACCCCGCCCCATTCTCCCTTCTTCCATCACCCTGCCCCATTCTCCCGCTTTCCATCACCATGCCCCATTCTCCGGCTTTCCATCACCCCGCCCCATTCTCCCGCTTTCCATCACCCCGCCCCATTCTCCCGCTTTCCATCACCCCGCCCCATTCTTCCGCTTTCCATCACCCCACCCTATTCTCCCGCTTTCCATCACCCCGCCCCATTCTCCCGCCTTCCATCACCCCGCCCCATTCTCCCGCTTTCCATCACCCCGCCCCATTCTCCCGCTTTCCATCACCCCGCCCCATTCGCCCGCTTTCCATCACCCCGCCCCATTCTCCCACTTTCCATCACCCCGCCCCATTCTCCCGCTTTCCATCACCCGGCCACATTCTCCCGCTTTCCATCACCCCGCCCCATTCTCCCGCATTCCATCACCCCGCCCCATTCTCCCGCTTTCCATCACCCCGCCCCATTCTCCCGCTTTCCATCACCCCGCCCCATTCTCCCTCCTTCCATCACCCCGCCCCATTCTCCCGCTTTCCATCACCCCGCCCCATTCTCCCGCTTTCCATCACCCCGCCCCACTCTTCCTCCTTCCATCACCCCGCCCCATTCTCCCTCCTTCCATCACCCCGCCCCATTCTCCCGCTTTCCATCACCCCGCCCCATTCTCCCGCTTTCCATCACCCCGCCTCATTCTCCTGCTTTCCATCACCCCGCCCCATTCTCCCGCTTTCCATCAACCCGTCCCATTCTCCAGCTTTCCATCACCCCGCGCCATTCTCCCGCTTTCCATCACCCCGCCCCATTCTCCCTTCTTCCATCACCCTGCCCCATTCTCCCGTTTTCCATCACCATGCCCCATTCTCCTGCTTTCCATCACCCTGCCCCATTCTCCCGCTTTCCATCACCCCGCCCCATTCTCCCGCTTTCCATCACCCCGCCCCATGCTTCCGCTTTCCATCACCCCACCGCATTCTCCCACTTTCCATCACCCCGCCCCATTCTCCCGCTTTCCATCACCCCGCCCCATTCTCCCGCTTTCCATCACCCGGCCCCATTCTCCCGCTTTCCATCACCCCGCCCCATTCTCCCGCTTTCCATCACCCCGCCCCATTCTCCCGCTTTCCATCACCCCGCCACATTCTCCCGCTTTCCATCACCCCGCCCCATTCTCCCTCCTTCCATCACCCCGCCCCATTCTCCAGCTTTCCATCACCCCGCGCCATTCTCCCGCTTTCCATCACCCCGCCCCATTCTCCCGCTTTCCATCACACCGCCCCATTCTCCTGCTTCCCATCACCCCGCCCCATTCTCCCGCTTTCCATCACCCCGCCCCATTCTCCCGCTTTCCATCATCCCACCCCATTCTCCCGCTTTCCATCACCCGGCCCTTTCTCCCGCTTTCCATCACCCCGCCCCATTCTCCCGCTTTCCATCACCCTGCCCCATTCTCCCGCTTTCCATCACCCCGCCCCATTCTCCCGCTTTCCATCACCCCGCCCCATGCTTCCGCTTTCCATCACCCCACCGCATTCTCCCACTTTCCATCACCCCGCCCCATTCTCCCGCTTTCCATCACCCCGCCCCATTCTCCCGCTTTCCATCACCCCGCCCCATACTCCCTCCTTCCATCACCCCGCCCCATTCTCCCGCTTTCCATCACCCCGCCCCATTCTCCCGCTTTCCATCACCCCGCCCCACTCTTCCTCCTTCCATCACCCCGCCCCATTCTCCCTCCTTCCATCACCCCGCCCCATTCTCCCGCTTTCCATCACCCCGCCCCATTCTCCCGCTTTCCATCACCCCGCCTCATTCTCCTGCTTTCCATCACCCCGCCCCATTCTCCCGCTTTCCATCAACCCGTCCCATTCTCCAGCTTTCCATCACCCCGCGCCATTCTCCCGCTTTCCATCACCCCGCCCCATTCTCCCTTCTTCCATCACCCTGCCCCATTCTCCCGTTTTCCATCACCATGCCCCATTCTCCTGCTTTCCATCACCCTGCCCCATTCTCCCGCTTTCCATCACCCCGCCCCATTCTCCCGCTTTCCATCACCCCGCCCCATGCTTCCGCTTTCCATCACCCCACCGCATTCTCCCACTTTCCATCACCCCGCCCCATTCTCCCGCTTTCCATCACCCCGCCCCATTCTCCCGCTTTCCATCACCCGGCCCCATTCTCCCGCTTTCCATCACCCCGCCCCATTCTCCCGCTTTCCATCACCCCGCCCCATTCTCCCGCTTTCCATCACCCCGCCACATTCTCCCGCTTTCCATCACCCCGCCCCATTCTCCCTCCTTCCATCACCCCGCCCCATTCTCCAGCTTTCCATCACCCCGCGCCATTCTCCCGCTTTCCATCACCCCGCCCCATTCTCCCGCTTTCCATCACACCGCCCCATTCTCCTGCTTCCCATCACCCCGCCCCATTCTCCCGCTTTCCATCACCCCGCCCCATTCTCCCGCTTTCCATCATCCCGCCCCATTCTCCCGCTTTCCATCACCCGGCCCTTTCTCCCGCTTTCCATCACCCCGCCCCATTCTCCCGCTTTCCATCACCCCGCCCCATTCTCCCGATTTCCATCACCCCGCCCCATTCTCCCGCTTTCCATCACACCGCCCCATTCTCCCGCTTTTCATCACCCCGCCCCTTCTCCCGCTTTCCATCACCCCGCCCCATTCTCCCGCTTTCCATCACCCCGCCCCATTCTCCCGCTTTCCATCACTCGGCCCCATTCTCCCGCTTTCCATCACCCCACCCCATTCTCCCGCTTTCCATCACCCCGCCCCATTCTCCCGCTTTCCATCATCCCGCCCGATTCTCCCTCCTTCCATCACCCCGCCCCATTCTCCCTCCTTCCATCACCCCGCCCCATTCTCCCGCTTTCCATCACCCCGCCCCATTTTCCTGCTTTCCATCACCCCGCCCCATTCTCCCGCTTTCCATCACCCCGCCCCATTCTCCCGCTTTCCATCACCCCGCCCCATTCTCCCGCTTTCCATCACCCCGCCCCATTCTCCCGCTTTCCATCACCCCGCCCCATTCTCCCGCTTTCCATCACCCCGCCCCATTCTCCCGCTTTCCATCACCTCGCCCGCCCCATTCTCCCGCTTTCCATCACCCCGCCCCATTCTCCCGCTTTCCATCACCCCGCCCCATTCCCCCGCTTTCCATCACCCCGCCCCATTCTCCCACTTTCCATCACCCCGCCCCATTCTCCCTCTTTCCATCACCCCGCCCCATTCTCCCACTTTCCATCACCCCGCACCATTCTCTCACTTTCAATCTCCCCGCCCCATTCTCCCGCTTTCCATCACCCCGCCCCATTCTCTCGCTTTCCATCACCCTGCCCCATTCTCCCTCTTTCCATCACCCAACCCCATTCTCCCGCTTTCCATCACCCCGCCCCATTCTCCCGCTTTCCATCAACCCGCCCCATTCGCTTGTTCCACAGGTACCATGTACGATTGGAATGCCTATATTTGCTAAATTACATATATCCAAAAGGTTAGAACCTAGTTGGGCAGTGGGGAAATGTGTAATCTAGAGGAAAAGGGAAAAATATATGGTTCTCTTTGTATTTCTACGGAGAAAGAAATGCGTTGTTCGGTTCGGTCAGTATGCACGCTTGTGTGCAGGTACAAGGTGGAGCCAGAACTTCGAAATCTTCCTAATTATGTGGACCAAAATGGTTAGAACCTAGTTTTGTTGAAGTAGAAGGCCTTATCTAGTGGACTGGCAAGAATATGGTACTAACTGTATCCCTACAAACATATGTAATGCGCTGGTCAGTTTGGTAGGTATGCGCGCTTGTACTGCAGGTACCATGTACGATTGGAATGCCTATATCTGCTAAATTACATAGATCCAAAATGTTAGAACCTGGTTGGGCGGTGGGGAAATGTGTAATCTAGAGGGGGAAAAATGTGTAATCTAGAGGGGGAAAAATGTGTAATCTAGAGGGGGAAACTCTTTGTATTTCTAAGGAGAAAGTAATGCGTTGTTCAGTTCGGTCAGTATACACGCTTGTGTGTAGGTACAAGGTGGAGCCTGAACTCTGAAATCTCCCAAATTATGTGGATTGAAAAGGTTAGAACCTAGTTTTGTTGAAGTAGAAGGCCTAATCTAGTGGACTGGTAAGAATATGGTACTAACTGCATCTCTACAAACATATGCAATGCGCTTGTCAGTTTGGTATGTGTGTGCGCTTGTACTGCAGGTACCATGTACGATTGGAATGCCTATGTCTGCCAAATTACATAGATCCAAAAGGTTAGAACCTAGTTGGGCGACGGGGAAATGTGTAATCTAGAGGAGAAAAGAAAAATATATTGTACTCTTTGTATTTCTACGGAGAAAGAAATGCGTTGTTCGGTTCGGTCAGTATGCACGCTTGTGTGCAGGTACACGGTGGAGCTAGAACTTTGAAATCTCCCAAATTATGTGGATCGAAAAGGTTAGAGCCTAGTTTTGTTGAAGTAGAAGACCTAATCTAGTGGGCTGGCAAGAATATGGTACTAATTGCATCTCTACAAACATATGTAATACGCTGGTCAGTTTGGTAGGTATACGCGCTTGCACTGCAGGTACCATGTACGATTGGAATGCCTATATCTGCCAAAGTACATAGATCCAAAAGTTTAGAACCTGGTTAGGCGGTGGGGAAATGTGTAATCTAGAGGGGGAAAAATATATGGTACTCTTTGTATTTCTACGGAGAAAGTAATGCGTTGTTCGGTTCGGTCAGTATGCATGCTTGTGTGTAGGTACAAGGTGGAGCCAAAACTCTGAAGTCTCCCAAATTATGTGGATCAAAAAGTTAGAACCTAGTTTTGTTGAAGTAGAAGGCCTAATCTAGTGGACTGGCAAGAATATGGTACTTACTGCATCTTTACAAACATATGTAATGCGCTTGTCAGTTTGGTATGTGTGTGCGCTTGTACCGCAGGTACCATGTACGATTGGAATGTACTGCAGGAAGTCGGCCGGCTGCTCAGCGGTCGGGATGTACTGCAGCGAGAACTTCCCGCGCTTCGCCATGTGCTGCAGCCAGGCCTGTCGCCGCTCCATGTGGTTGAGGTTGCCCGTCAACCCCATGCCCTCGGCGACCGTGATGGCCGACTTGTTGTCCACCCGGAGGACGGTCGGCTTCCCAGCATCCAGCTGCTGGAACTCTGCGAGGAGGAAGCGAAGTCGGCGTCCCTCCTTCCCGGCTTCCGTGGCCGCCACGTACTCCGACTCGGTCGACGACAACGTCGCGCACTTGATGCGCTGGCTTGACCAGGAGACCGCGGCCCCTCCGTAGACGAACACGTAGCCGCCCGTGCTCGTCCGGTTCTGCTTGTTACCGGCGTCGTCGGCGTCCAATCCGCATCGATGTATCCATTGGTGCATCGGCACAATACCTACGCATGACGATGCACACATTGGTGCATCAGCGCCATGCCGATGCGTGCCGATGGATCCATTGGTGCATCAGTACCATGCTGACGCGCGCCGATGCATGCTTTGGTGCATTAGTACCATGCTGATGGACGCCGATGCATCCTTGGAGCATCGGCATCGTGCCGACGTGCGCCGATGCATCCATTGGTGCATCGGAACCATGTTGTTGTGGGCCGATGGACCCATTAGTGCATCGGCACCATGCCGACGCACGCCGATGCACCCATTGGTGCATCAGCTTCATGCCGATCCGTGTCGATGTATCCATTCATGCATCGGCTTCATGCCGTCAGCGCAGGCGCCGAACTTTTCCGTGCGCACGAACCAAGCTGGAATTGCTCTGGTTGGTGTATTTGAGCATTGGCCACCCGAATATGCAACAACATTCAGGTCGTTCGAGGCTTTTCCCTACGCCTATGAGGATTCATGCACTTCGTTACCATTTGTCGGTAGACACAGCCGTCAGCGCAGGCGCCGAACTTTTCTGTGCGCACGAACCAAGCTGGAATTGATCTGGTAGGTGTATTTGAGCATGGGCCATCCGAATATGCAACAACATTCAGGTCGTACGATGCTTTTCCCTACGCCTATGAGGATTCATGCACTTCGTTACTATTTGTCGGCAGGCACAGCCGTCATCGCAGGCGCCGAACTTTTCTGTGCGCACGAACCAAGCTGGAATTGTTCTGGTAGGTGTATTTCAGCATGGGCCACCTGAATATGCAACAACATTCATGTCGTTCGATGCTTTTCCCTACGCTTATGAGGATTCATGCACTTCGTTACCATTTGTCGGCAGGCACAGCCGTCATCGCCGGCGCCGAATTTTTTGGTGCGCACGAATCAAGCTGGAATTGCTCCGGTAGGTGTATTTGAGCATAGGTCACCCAAATATGCAACAACATTCAGGTCGTTCGATGCTTTTCCCTACGCCTATGAGGATTCATGCACTTCGTTACCACTTGTCGGCCGGCACAGCCGTCATCGCAGGCGTCGAACTTTTGGGTGCGCACGAACCAAGCTGAAATTGCTCTGGTAGGTGTATTTGAGCATGGGCCACCTGAATATGCAACAACATTCAGGTCGTTCGATGCTTTTCCATACGCCTATCAGAAACAACACCACAAACCTATTCTAATTTTTTCTTAGTCATAAAAATAACTAAGAACAGCATTAGATAGTCGTTGGTTGTTGTCCCACCAGAAATTAATATTTTCTTGTTTCCTGTGGCGCGCTCTTGGGAGTTGAGGCCCGCACGGAACACAGATGGCATATCACAGGGGAAAATGCTAGGCAGGGAAATGGCAGGAAGGGACGCAGGGTGAAAATAGATATGCGTGGGATTTGCTATTATTCTTTTGTATGAATGTAAACCCGCCTAGGCAACGCGCGCACTAACTCGGGGCTGTAGTGACAAAATTCTATCACCGACGTGCCCTCGCGTGCGCTCATGCCAGTGGCGTCAAGTATGTGGTGTCACATGAGGGCTTGGTGCAGGATGGTGGTTGCTAGTGGGCATTTGCATAGTCTTTGATGGTATGACGGCGATGCATGGTTTATGAAGACATGATGGCAGTGTATGCAATGGGTTCAGTGCATGTGTGGGTGTGCCATGACTGTTGACGCAAGTGGGTCGTGTGAGTGTGTGCGTGGAGGAATATAGCTGATGGGAGAAGGATAGAGGGACAGAAAGAGGTGTGAATGTAAGAGGCGCAGCCTGTTGTCGTGTCTTGGGTGTAGGGAGAATGGGGCGGGGTGATGGGAAGAGGAAGAATGGGGCGGGGTGATGGAAAGCGGGAGAATGGGGCGGGGTGATGGAAAGCGGGAGAATGGGGCGGGGTGATGGAAAGCGGGAGAATGGGGCGGGGTGATGGAAAGCGGGAGAATGGGGCGGGGTGATGGAAAGCGGGAGAATGGGGCGGGGTGATGAAAAGCGGGAGAATGGGGCGGGGTGATGTAAGGAGGGAGAATGGGGCGGGGTGATGGAAGGAGGGAGAATGCGGCGGGGTGATGGATAGCGAGAGAATGGGGCGGGGTGATGGAAAGCGGGAGAATGGGGCGGGGTGATGGAAAGCGGGAGAATGGGGCGGGGTGATGGAAGGAGAGAGAATGGGGCGGGGTGATGGAAAGCGGGAGAATGGGGCGGGGTGATGGAAGGAGGGAGAATGGGGCGGGGTGATGGAAAGCGGGAGAATGGGGCGGGGTGATGGAAAGCGGGAGAATGGGGCGGGGTGATGGAAAGCGGGAGAATGGGGCGGGGTGATGGAAAGCGGGAGAATGAGGCGGGGTGATGGAAAGCGGGAGAATGGGGCGAGGTGGTGAAAGGCGGGAGAATGGGGCGGGGTGATGGAAGGAGGGAGAATGGGGCGGGGTGATGGAAGGAGGGAGAATGGGGCGGGGTGATGGAAAGCGGGAGAATGGGGCGGGGTGATGGAAAGCAGGAGAATGGGGCGGGGTGATGGAAAGCGGGAGAATGGGGCGGGGTGATGGAAAGCGTGAGAATGGGGCGGGGTGGTGGAAGGAGGGAGAATGGGGCGGGGTGATGGAAAGCGGGAGAACGGGGCGGGGCGATGGAAAGCGGGAGAATGGGGCGGGGTGATGGAAAGCGGGAGAATGGGGCCGGGTGATGGAAAGCGGGAGAATGGGGCGGGGTGATGGAAAGCGGGAGAATGGGGTGGGGTGATGGAAAGCGGGAGAATGGGGCGGGGTGATGGAAGGAGGGAGAATGGGGCGGGGTGATGGAAAGCGGGAGAATGGGGCGGGGTGATGGAAAGCAGGAGAATGGGGCGGGGTGATGGAAAGCGGGAGAATGGGGCGGGGTGATGGAAAGCGTGAGAATGGGGCGGGGTGGTGGAAGGAGGGAGAATGGGGCGGGGTGATGGAAAGCGGGAGAACGGGGCGGGGCGATGGAAAGCGGGAGAATGGGGCGGGGTGATGGAAAGCGGGAGAATGGGGCCGAGTGATGGAAAGCGGGAGAATGGGGCGGGGTGATGGAAAGCGGGAGAATGGGGTGGGGTGATGGAAAGCGGGAGAATGGGGCGGGGTGATGGAAAGCGGGAGAACGGGGCGGGGTGATGGAAAGCGGGAGAATGGGGTGGGGTG